GTGAGTCCTCAACATAGATGTATCTTCCTTTGTGGCAGTGAAATTCGATAAACAAAACACCCATGTTACTTGGGTTTATTTGGCTTTGAACTTGTGCTCACCGACTCTTGGGATTTCAAATTATCTACCATGTTGTGAAATTCTTGGTGTAGGTGATACCGTGGAAGGTCAATTAATATCTTTTCTCAACCTTTGGTTCAAGTGGAATTGAGTAAAGTCATCAATCTATCTAATCTAGTTCAAACCATGCAAATTCCCTATTATTATTGAATCATTAAGGACCTTGCCAAGATCGACATTCGTGCCTTCTAGTGTGAGAGCATCTGATAAGGCTGGTGTTGGACGATCTGGTAAGTTGGCAGACCGTTTTGTATTTAATTCCACTACAAGCTTAAATTTTCATGAAACGACTGCATACTCAACCCATTTCTAAGTGACATCAAAATTCCTTTCAACAGGATAAGTTTCTTTCTTGTCAGTGTAATATTGGTCCTGATATAATAGGGCAAGCGGGTGAGCGGTTATGATGATGTTGCCTCCTTGCACGACACCTATAGCGTGCCCTTGTTGCTTTTAATTTAAAGGAAAAAGTGCAATAGACTCCTCCCTCACAGAACATTGACTGGATAAACCCCTAAACCAATTTTGTGTTAAATTTACTCCTCCAAATCTTTTAGTTGGACCATTCTATCCCACTACAAGATTGTTTTTTTTGTTTCTCCAAATATATGTTGAGTTTTTAAGTTCAATTTTGTAGGGCTATAAAGAACTTCATAAATTGTGTTATACATTATGAATTTTTATACCTTAGGCATCTAAAAATAAATTAACACTACAAAAACAGTAATGAAAATTGCATAATCTATTTTCTAACATAATTTAGGACATTTTTGGACCACTGTATAAAATTTGGACTTAAAACTCAACTTGACGTGGAGAAATAAAGACAAACCTTATTAATGGATAGATTAGACCAGCCGAAAGACCGGACTTTTTTCTAGTTTATTTAAATCACTCTACATGCACAACCATATATAGCATCCGTGACCTCTGTTTTAAATTTCAGGAATTGTACTATATATCCTACAATTAAAAAGAACAAAACTAAGATAGCGGAATGGTGCGACAGTTGTTGGGGTCGTCGCTCTCCCTCATGGTGCGATCCCGCGATCGCGGGGGTCGTTGCTCTACCTCGGGGTGCCATCCCGCGATCAGCCCACGATCACGCAAGCACGCAAAAGGAAAAGCTCGTGCAAACACCGCCATCGCAGTTCACCGCGCAATAACTGCAGCCCGGGAGGAAAGGAATCACTGCACCCTCGCCTGCCGCTCGCCCACGACGCGTAGTCACCGCAACCTGCGCTCCTTCCCATCCTGAGCTAATCCACGCCGCCGCACCCTCGCGCCTTCACCGGCACCAGAACCTCGCCACACCCCTGCCCCGACACCGCCGAGGAGCCGCGCTCATCGCCGCGCCTCGTCTCCGCCGGACGCCGGGTCTGCCTGCTCCTCTCTATCGATGGCGGTGCGACGATCCCAGCCTGACGCTTCATCGCACGCAAGCTCACCCGGCCGCCTGCCCACGCGCCCTATCGCTCGCCTCGCCCTTCGCCGCCGCACACACGGCGCAGCCGCCACGCCCCACAGCAGCTGGGCCCACGCGCCCCATCGACGCCCGAGCCGTCGGGTTCCACGATGACCACGCCACGAAATCCACGATGACCGCACTGCCGCGACCTCCCCACCCATCCCCGATCTACGCCTCCATCGCCCATCATTCGACCCAGCCGAGCTGCCGCCACAGGATCATACCACGCTGTAGTTAGGTGAGGCATTTGTTCATTTGCAGCTGTCGCCCATCCAGCAAATGGACTGCAGTGGTCTCCGCCTCTCTCATAGCGTGGCGGCCACGCTGTACCGAGGTGAGGCATCGGTTCGCTTACTGGATGAGCGAGTTCTTGTGATTTCACCCTTATTTGCTACGCTGATATCTGCAGGACTGTTGTGGCTCCTGCGGCACCCGAGGACGAGCAGCTGGCCGGTTACTTTAATGTGTTGCTGCATCTCTAGCGTGAGAGACTTGAGTAAGTTTAGAACTGGATAATTGTCTGCTGACTGTTTAGGACTAAATTTTAGATATATGGGGTTGAAGACTTAATGTGTTGTACCAATGACCAGAGTGTACAGTCAACAAGGCAATTATAGGAGTTCTGACCCAAAGAAAATCAAGCCAGAAACAATGGACCATGATCAACTCGTTGAAGAACTGAAATGGTGCTTGGGATGAAAAAAAAAGTTTATTAGAATTCCTTCATTGCATATCAAGCACAGGTATATTAGAATTATTTCATTACTTGATCCTTCACAGATTGAAGTGGAATTTCTGTTTAATTTTTGTTATCTGTCTGCGGTTTAGTCAATTATGCCTAGGCAGTAAAATAAATACACGAACCAATCGTTGTAAGATCAACAGCACAAGAAAATAGCTGACATTTTTTTTATCTGAACAAATAGACATACTAGAGAACCTTGCACATGACATGTTATTTTTTTTTCAAACTGAACCTATTGAAGTATGCTGAAAGGTGGTAACTATGCACACAAGTGGTTCGGAAAATAGAATAAACGCTCCAATTTGTACTGTATCTCATGACACATGTGATAGGATCATGGTGTGTTACCTGATCAAAGAAAGTAGTTTTGCTTATAGTTTCATTGTAAACCCAGTTTACTTATCTTTTGCTTATATTTTTTCTACCTCTTGCCTTTCTAAAATTCAATTTTGAATACATAGCAAATTGCCTTTCATTATCTCAGTTTTGAAATAACCATTGTCAAACAAATAAGAACGGAGGTAGTACATTAGTACCTGTGAAGCCCCAATAATCAGTTGATTACTGCTGCTTCAGCTTGTATTTTTCTTTGAAGTTTCTACTCCTGCTTAATGAATACCGTGCTAATGCACGTTCGAGAAAATTAGTACCTTAGGTTTGTTCACACTGTTATAAATTTCAATGCTGAGCGAGGCATGCAGCACTGGGTGAGCTGTTATGCTTATGCTGTAAATAGCCATGCTTCCACCCACGAGAAATGGATTGGTGGTATCAGCTTAAGCCGCCAGCGTCCCTCAATGTTATTCTGCTTACGATTAGAGATCTTTTTCTAGCATCAGTCAAGGTACTCTATCTCAATGTTGGCCCTGATTTTAGTATGTTTGGTTGCATTTGATCTTGAAAAATAATGCAAAAGCGTGCTCTAATTTTGTGATGGAGAACCTACAAGTATCTGTGCTCTAAACTGGTAGAATTAAGCATGTCCAATTGATACAAGTTATGCATGTCCAAGTCCAATTAGTCTGAATTGGTCGAAGCTAAGCATCATTGACAACGGTCGGCATTAAGGCAAGTGTGCAGGTTTGGAGGTGTAGTTAATGTGAATTTCCCTCTATTATTCATCCTAGCAAAATACTTTTCCATAATATTGTTTATATAGTTGCTTCTCGAGTTGTATGACAATGCAGTAACATGCATAAACCATTGTCAGATAGTGAACAACTCCTGATCAGAGCACATGATGCATCTCGTAATTGTTTGAATCATTTTCCATTGGGTAATCTCTGCATGCGAGTTATAATCCTATCTATTACCAGTTTGTCTCTACTTCCAGAAGGTGAATACAAGATTAGGGGGGAAATAGAAAATCAATTCTGTGTGAGATCTGATGGTGCAAGGAATTGTCAACCCGAGGTGACGAGGATCTCTCCTGCCTCCCTCTTCCTCACTCTCACTCTTGTTCAGAGGCTGCCTCTTCCTCACTCCCTCTTGCTGACAGGCTACCCTCTTGCTCATGGGCCAGAGTGTAGGGAGGAGACCTGATGATACGCAGTTGTGGGCTTGTGGCACAGGCATCGTGGAGGCAAGGCGTTGATATCCTCGAGGCGGATGTTGGGTCCGAAGTAGCCCTTGGAGTAGGTGTGTGTGTCAGCGCCGTTCGTGCTAGGTTTTGGTGGAATTCTTGATTATTTTAATCCAAAATTTATTTTTAATCGGTTTTAAACACGCCCTATGGGTGCAGTGGGCTCCAACAGCCTTCGGTGGACTCCAAGGCCAGCTGTGAGCAGCTTGGGAGACGGTATTTGATGGGCTCCAGCCTAGCAGGTATTACCAATTACGTAAGTCGCTTGCTTCTGCTTTTATTACTTGTTTGCTATATACTATTCTAATTGCTATTATGTTTGCAGTTTCTTTTGTCATGGCTCTTCGAAAATATATGTTTTATGTTTTCGATCAGCGGGAGAAGATGCTTATCATGATTGACTCTAGACCTGTTGAAGAGTGGTGTAAAGACACACCAGCGATGATGTATGACTGGCAAACTCTTGTTTTTTTGGATTAAATGTTACTTTAACGTTGATATTTAATTTTTACAGTATTGTTATGTTATCATGCGATCCGTGTGTTTTTAGTATAAATTATTAGCTATCCCGTAGCAACGCACGGGCACGCTATCTAGTTTATCAAAAAAAGAAGAAGTAGTATATGATATCTAATTTCAGGAGGTAGAGTAAAAATACAGAAAAAAACATATAGGAAAAAACTAACAAGAGGTATAAATATCCGATGTGAACCACTGTTTGACTTTAAACCCAGCAAAGTGCCACTGTCACAATGTAAATACTGTCGCATGAGCCACTGTTCTCATGGGCAAATCACCTGACACATAAACCAAGTCGCCTTCCAAGCACTCACGATGAGGCAAGGGAAAACACACACAGATAACAGTACCAAATGAACTGCAAAAGGTGCTGAAATTAAACACAAATAACAGGCCTGCTAGCTAGCTAGTCCGGCAAGCCCACAACATGACATGGACGACGAAGCAACTTTAAAGTTCAATAACGACGAAGCCGGCACAAATCCGTCAGACTTCTGGTGCACGTCGGCTGCCCTTCCATCGATCTATTTGGCTCCGGCGAGTCGATGTATGCCGGCGGCGCAGCTCTAGTTGAGGTTTAGGTTTGTCTGATGAGCTCCGGGCTGGGGGCGGGGGACGCGGAGACGAAAGACGTTGTGGCGGCATTGGCACAGCTCGGCTCCTTCGTCCAGCTCGGCTTCCATCGGGGCCATCGGGCGCCCGCATTTGTAACAGAAGAGACTTCCGCATCTGCATGCCAATGGCGTCAGAAACACCGTGCAAGACGTTTAAGATTAGCATTACCATGCATTGGGCCAAGCATACAAAGACTGGAACATCATACGAACAGGTCTGTCATATATAGGCATAAATATAGATACTATGGCTTGTCATGAATAAAGCGATCTTTTTTCCCCTGAAGATCCATATGGTAAATTTTTCAGAAGCCGCCCTATTAACGTTGTTTAAAACAAAGCTGTACGTGATATGGAGTAGTAAAGGAGAACTGAATAGTAAACACAAGAAAATGAAACAGCAAGTAAAACATGATAAGTTATAATTCTAGAGCTGTTTCCAGTGCAAATACTGCAAATTTTGTGTTAAATTCCAGGCACAATCTTTACTTTTTTATGAACCACAAATGACAATTATATTTTTGCATGCATGTATCTAAAAATATCCTACTATCTGTTAAACATATGCAAAATCAACTTTGCTAGCGGGTTGATAGTTTCAAACAATTAACCAAATTCGCTCTAAGCATTACAAATGTTGTACTACTACCATTGTACCATTTACAGGAAGCTATAAGCTACCTGAATCAAAATATCCTAACGTTGAAACATGTATGAGAAGCTATACAAATCCAAAACAGCAAATATAGTACTGAAATTGGATAAGATATTGATCTGAAAATGCTAGTATTAAGCACCGGTGGTCAGGTGACATGATGTGATAATTCATATGGTAGAACTTCAGAAACCGCTCTACTATCTTGTAATAACAGAGGCACAAATATACTACTAGTAAGACCGCTCCATTGAAACCTATAGGCCTTGACTGCACTATAATCCATTTTAATTCATATGTATCGGACAGAGGGGTGGCTCCATCGCTGGTGTCGGTAATCGAGGGATTACCATGACCAGTTAAGGTTGTAGCAAACTCTGCTTCTGCTTAATGAAAAACATGCCGGCATGGTCATGAAAAAAATGTGGTGGCTCTGATTCATCCCAATAAATGGATTGTGACGGGTTGAATTGCAACAAAACAAGCCTACTCCGTATATGATAAAACTTCAGAAACCGCTATAGTAAAAGGAAAGCCTACTCCGTATATGATAAAACTTCTGAAACCGCTATAGTAAAAGGAAAGCTAGCTGTTCGTGATGGAGTAGAGGAGATCTGAGTGAGGATTAAACACAAGAAGAAACCGAGACAGGAAATAAAACGCGAGAAGTGTCCAATATATATACCTGCAGTGCATAGTATCGCACCCCATGATCCTCTCGACCACAATCTTACAACTGGGGCACAGGATGGAGACGCCGCCGTCGCGGATCCTGCCCTCGATGTAGGTGGCCATGCACTGCGCGCAGAACTTGTGGTCGCACTGCATGCCGTGGAAGAGGTCCAGGATGGGGAGCGTCTCCAGGCAGATGCCGCAGTCGAACTTGGCGACCTCGTCGTCCGCGAGAGGGGGCACCCTGCTCTGCCTCTTCGTCGACGGGCCAGGTTCGTCTGGGTCAAGCTCGGATGGGTGGACGCCCCATATCTTGCAGTAGCCTTCCAGGGTCAGCTCGCGTCCGTCTTCGCCGGCAGAGGGACGCTTGTGACCGCAGTGCTCCTCCTTTGGTGGTGCCTCGGACTCGGACCTGCCGGGAAGTTACAGCGGGGAATACATCTCCCGGATTTCTGGCTCCTCCATCTGCTCTAGCCTTTGAGCGTCACGGGCGATGGACTTGTACCACTCATTGCCGTCCTCTTCCTCCGTACTACCGGCGAAGATAGTTGAGTTGACAGGAGCACTCGGCCTCGCCGTCGCTGATGCTTCAGTCCTTGTCTGGGCAGGCAGCAAACGGGTTATTAGCATTGACATGGGCGCCAACGTTGAAAATGTTGGTGTTGGCATGAATGGTGCGGAGGAGTGCCGCCGTTTCGGGTGCGACTGTGGCCATGAGGAAGTCTAGACAAGGATTGACGACCTGTGCCACATCCACATCCAGGGGAGCATCCAAATCCTCCTGCTGAATCCAGTAGTCATCGTCGTCTACCTAGTCCCAGAAGATCATTGCGTTCTGTGTGCCTGTCTCCACTGTATCCGCCGAGGTAGAAGCAGCATCGCGGACGACGGCTTCTTGCTTGGATCCGTCCACGAACTTCGGTGTGCTGAGTCCGCCGACGACCGCCTCCACTACATCCGGGGCCATAGCATCACGGATGACGGCTTCCTCCTTTGACTGGTGGTCCATGGGGGGATTGGAGTTTTCTTTCTCCATCACAAACTGCATAATGACCTAGAAAATGGGAATGTAAGATTCACTTATGACAGCTTACCAGTGTGCAACACAGACATTCCAAATAGCGAAACTTAGACATATCAAATGTGATTGTTGTCAACCTGAGACATTAACACTAAAAGCAAAAAAAGAAGAAGAAGAAGAGAGAATACAACATATATATAGCACATCTCTAAGAGTAGTATAAGGACCTGTGTTGTGCCCACACTAGGGTGTTTTTAGAGCATCTAAGAGACTCTCTCCATGACTCTTTATCACAGAGACTTTAAAAAACAAAACAAAAACTCCAATAGACTACCTAAACTACTCCCTATCTTTTCCACTCTCCACTTTTGGAGAGGCTACATGCCTTTTTAAATGGAATATAGGTTGTTTTCTCATGAATGTTTTCATATAAGGAAAATTATATTTAACTATTGGAGTATAGTGAACAAAAATCAAAGAGTTCGCAGAGAACACACACGAGAGGTACATAAAGAGAATATCCATTGAATGTCTCTCCAAATAATATAGATATAGAGATTAAAATTTAGACTCTTGGGAGTTGCACTTAGGGGGGCCAAAACACTTCCGATGTGCGGCCACAGAACATAAAGGTCATATGGCTCAAATTCTCTCCACATATATGAAACCATACCCATCTTCTCTCCCAAATGACCCCCAACCCCTTTGACTCTTTTTCTCTAGAGCCTTGCCTCCCTATGTTTCACCACTAGTCTCACACTAACTAGCTAGGCTCTCCTGACCTGAAGTCTTATTCTCACCCAAATCTAGCTTCATTCTCTTATGTCCCGCTCTGTCTCCCTCTCTAGATTCTGACTTGTGATACCATTATGCCTTACACGACTTGTTGCCATCGCCTTTCACCTAAGCTTGAGAATTTGGGGAAACCTCACGGAGCATACAACCCCCCAAATCCCAACCCATATTTCCTTATTGAAGAATCTCATAAAAGGCGGAGAATAAGAGCCTCACCAAACTATACTTCTAAAAAATGAGGACTCCATAGCATTCTCCTAGGAGAAATAAGAGGTGTATTGATAAAAAAATAGATATATTCCAAAACTCCTCTCACATTCCACAAAAACTTTGGTGTTGTCTTTCCCCTCTCTCCCACCCCTACCTTGTGATGTCACACCTTAGATGTTGTTTATAGGCACTAGTTAAAAACCCAACACTAAGCTATGAGCGCCTAGAAAAGTAGAATTGGAAGGCCAAGGGATCATTTTAGCTGGCACACAACATGAGCAAGCTTGCAATCCCAAAACAACTAAATGACAAAGCTATTGTCCCCATCAATTGCATCACCTTGGCCTCCATCACTGCCCATGGTTGATGCCTATACCTCACCTCCATACCATGCCACCCACTTTTGTCCCCACCTATCCCCCACTAATCGATCCACCTGCTTGCCCCTATTACATCCTCCACTAACCGAACTACCTACTCACACAACCACCGACCATCTCCACCGGTCATTCTCCACTACCTAACTATCAGTGCCCTCACCAACTTGCCTCACAGTCGGTGATGCCATCACCACCATGTTGGTTGCCGCACATACCTCCTTACAAGCATCACCCATTTTCCTTTCCAACTTTAGCAATGTCCCAAATCCAAACCCTAACCATAACCCCAACATCACCAAGCTTCAACCCAAAGGAATTAAGGAAGAAAGGAGGTGACGGTGCTGGTAGAGGTCTAACCTCTTTGTCAGTTGCTTGTCACTAATTAGCAGCACGTTAGTTTCTTGAGATCTATGCTCTCGAGGTAGGAAAGGGAGAGATAAATGACTTGCTAGTGTTCTCATAGGATAAACATAACTAGTCTATTAACAAGAAGGTAGATTTGATCCGAAATCCCGCACATCTGCCACAAAACTTTATCGCTCTCTCCCCCTTTATCCTACTTTCTACCCTGGGAAGTCACACCTTATATATGCTTCCAAATGATGTTAGTCGACACCCACCGCTAAGCTATCGAGTGCCTAGAAATGTACAGATGGAATGCAAGGGGGCATTTTAGTTGTCACACACGCAAAAGCCTGTATAGATGTTACACTCAAACAACTAAATGAAAAAGTTGTTGGCACCATCAACCATGTCACTCATAGCCACTACCATCACCTATGGTCGATGATGACCTCACCTCCATTCCATGTCGCATGCCTCTCTCACTACCCATCGTCCACTAACAAATCTACTTCCTCCTCTGCACTATTAACCTATCTATCAGTAGTTTGCCACCACCCAGCTTATAGTTCCGTCACCGTCTTGTCTCACGGACTCCACTTGGTAATACCACCATGTCGACCACCAAACACATCTATCCGCAAAGACCTACCCCCTTATTTCCTTCCATCTATGCCACCGCTGTTAATCTAAATCTAAATCCTAGCGCCAATCGTAACTCGAACACTAGATGCTCTGATTCTAGAGAAACAAGGAAGGAAAGAAGGGAGGGAGGGAGGGAGGGAGGGAGGAGGAGGATGAGGAGGGGGGAGGGGAGGATGTGTTCTAACCTCGCCATCAGTTGCTTGCCTTTGGTCACCAGTAAGTCAGTCTCCTTGGATTTGAGCAGAGAGGTGGAAGGGAGAGAGAAATGAGTTGGTCAAAGGTTGGTTGGTGAACATATAAGGAGAGTAGTAGGTGCAGGTACCACACAAGTAAGCACTCACATGACAACAAAAGGTTATGAACGCCAAATAAGCGTAGTTTAGGCAATCTAGCCCACAGAAAGCAAGATATGGCTACATATTAATTGTCTTGAATATTTTATAAATGACAATAAATTTTCTCTAAAAAACATATCCTAATCCTTCAACCCACATATTACATCATTAGACGTTACTCTACCAGTAACTAATGCCACCACTGAAATCATATCTTGCTAGCTAAGACATATCATTGCATGTTGCATGCTTCTCTCTCACCACCCATCCTCCACAAACAAATCTACTTTCTCACCTACACTATTAACCCTATCTGCTTCCTCCGTCCCAAAATAAGTGACGTTTTTTTACTTTTAGACATCTTGATTGACCGTTTGTCTTATTCAAAATTTTATACAAATATTATCTATTTTGTCATGACTTATTTTATCATTAGAGATACTTTAATAATAATTTATTTATTTTATAATTTGCACAAAAAAGTTGAATAAGACGAATGGTCAAACATGATATCAAAAAGTCAAAAATGTCACTTATTTTGGGACGGAGGGAGTATCAATCATTCGCCAGCACCCAGCTTATAGTTCTCTCATCGTCTTGTCTCATGGCCTCCACTTGGTAATACCACCATGTTGACCATCGAACACATCTATCCTCAAAAGCATTATGCCCTTATTCCTTTCCATCTATGCTGCTGCCGTTAATCTAGATCTAAATCCTAACACCAACCGTAACTCGAACACTAGATGATCCAATTCTAGAGAAGAAAGGAAGTGTCAGTGTTTTTTACCGGCAGATATTCGGTTCTTGGAGGAATTCGCTTGACGCAAAGAGCAAGCATAGTAGAGACACGGAATTTATACTGGTTCGGCCCCCCAGGAAGGGAGGTAAAAGCCGTACGTCCAGTTGCTACTTGTTTGTATTATAATCTCGTCGAATAGCGAGATGGCGATTAAAAGATGGCTATGCCTATGAGAGTTTCGATGATTACAACAGGGCGGATAGCTAGCTATTTATATCTAAGGCTTACTTGCCCTACAAGTTACATAGTCATGCCCTAGTCGGAGTCTTGGCGTGATCTTCACATATCCTTCCTTGAATAGGCGAGTCGTGAACCTTCGGGCCTTCTTCGGTACGGATTTGGTAGCCAGCATATCCGGTAGTCGGGAATCCTAGGAGTATGGCACCGTCAGTAGCCACTGAGCTTATTGGTTAAGTGAGACTCGGTAACCATCCTGTACTCGGGCCTTTTAGGGTGTTCAAAATCAGGACTTTATCTCAAGAGCCCGAGTTCATACCCGTGAGAACGAAGCTGGTCAGGTAGAAGTTAGAGGGTCGCATAGTTGGACGATGAGCTATAAAAATAAAATAAGCCATACTCTGGAGTCATCTTGTCTTGTCAACACGGTCTTCGTCTAAGTCAGGCGGCGGTTGTCACGCACTCAAGTGGCTGTGCCGGCTCGACTTTCGAGGATTACGCGTGGCATACGATTAATGTGTCGCTTCGGCTAGTGGGTGACGATTGGCTTGCCTCTCCCAATCACCCTGGCCTTGGCTTTATAAGCGGGCGCCTGAGTGTTGGATTAGATCCACTTAGCATCCCCACATTTGCATTCATGAAGACGAAGACCGCCGCTCACCGCCGCAAGATCCCTCGCCTGCTGCTCAGGGATTCGCCCGGGCAATCTGCTAAGGCCTCGCCCCCATCATCTCCCTCAGCCTCGTCATCTCCCGCTCTGGCGTCACCTGTAGCTTCAACCCCGACTCCACCTTCGACCATGGTGCCCTCACAAGAAGAGGCTATGATCATGAAGGAGAAAGGAGAGGCCACGACGAGCACCGAGGAGGTCGCCGCCCCAGCCCCGGAGGAGTCGGAGTCCAACGTGCTGTCGTAGGGTGTCATCGAGCTCTCCAACGATGAGCCAGAAGATTTGATTGCCT